GCCCGAGGCCTTATGCCTTTTGAGATACCTTATTTCCCGAGAAACCTCCATTTCAGATGGAGTACGAGCATCAACTGGGAGTATTTGTCCAGTTGAGGCGGAGAGTGAAAGATAAGATGTCGATGGGGGTCAGCAATCTAACCTGGAGCACTGGTTTTGCGAGAGCACATCGAAGGCAAGCCCTTCTGCATAGTGTCACCCGAGTATTGCACGAATGATCAGTAGGCTGCAGTATTTGATAGACGAAGATTCGAATTTGGCGGTATTGCAGGCGTAGAATTCTAGTGCTTGCGATCCTCCAATGCAACTATTTAATTGTATTCCGTTCACCATTTTCATGATCACTTTGCAACTCACCATTAAGACCAGACTCCACCGTGATGGGTTTTTATATCTTTATGACTCCGTGAACAAAACAGGATGAACTCTCAGAGATAAGGGGAATCAATCACGTTTGAAAGGTCAGTGGGTAGGAGGACAGATAAAGCGCAAACACACGGCCAGTTGATTGAGCATCTAGCTTTCTTTGATCGCAGGAGAGGTTATTCCAGGGAATAAACATAGAGAGGAGCAGTTTAGTAGTAACCGGTTTCAGTTTAAACAACCATTAACCATGCACTTTTGTGCTTCGGTTTTGGTTGTCCATTTGGGTGAGAGACAGAAAGGTTGGAAGTAGGATCGAAGAGAAAATTTGGGAACTTCAGAGGACTAATGTTGCAGAGAAATTGACAAGATGCACGACTATCTACGAATCCTCGGTACGGTCGCTCAATATTGCGCCTGAACTTCGCGCTGGTATTATACTCCGCCTATTAGCTAACGCAAATGAACGAGAACCAGGCCAGTTCAAGCTGGTGTTTCCATTTGCAATCTTCGTTAATTTACGGAGCATAGATATTCCTTCTCTAGAGTCAGAGTTTCTATTTGCCTCGATCCTAACGTAGTATTCAACTGAATCGACCACATCTTACTCTAGTGTTTCCATTCCTTGGAGAGTGTGCGCGGGATGTTTGTTTCTCTGATGCGATCTGGGCAGGCAATCAGCAGTAGTCCTGCTGGACCTTACAGTTTCTTTTTCGGTTTTTATGACCATCAACCATGAACTTAAATGCGCCGGTTTTGTTGTTGTCTGATGACCGTCCATTTGGATGAAGGAGTAAACGGATTTTCGGAATTTTCAAATCAATATCAGAGTGAGAACAG